GCTCGGAAGAGAGGGGCGGGGTCAGCAGAGCTCATTAACATTTAAAGGAAAATGCTACAAAACGGCTTGCTCTGAAAAGAGCTGTTTTTGACAGGGTAAAAAAGGTGTTTTTTTACACTACCATTGAGAAATTTTAACCAAACTACTGTATGTTACAGACTTTTCATTAAGACCCTAAAGAATCATATCAACTTGTGGAAAATGGGCATCCGATGACCCCTTTAATATGGAAATCATTCAGTACCATCAATGTACCATAGCGTTGCCATGTTTTATTTGACATTTACCATGGTAATACCACAGTATTATTTAAGTTCCTTTGAGTGCCATATAAATACAATGGTATTTAAATATGAATGTAATCAAGGTATATATCAAAACACCATGGTATTACCATGTTTTTTGGACATTTTGGAAAAATCATGGAATTTATTCAGTACCATGGTATATATATCAAAGTACCATGCTATTACCTTGCTTTTTGGACATTTACCATAGCAAAATCATAATTCTTTAAAGACCTTGGAGTTCCATGTAAATACTAGTATATATAAATATGGTAATCATTTAGTACAAAGGTATACATTAAAGCACCATGGTATTATCATGTTTTATTGAACGTTTACCATGGTAAAATCATATTATTCTTTTAAGAACTTTTAAGCTCTGTGTAAATACCATTGTATATAAATATGATTATTCTTCAGTACTATAGTATATCTCAAGGTACCATAGTATTATCATGTTGTTTGGACATTTACTGTATCAACAAGATAATATCATTCAGTACCAAGGTAAATATTACTGTAAAAAAAGTACTGTGGTATTACCATGTTTTATTGGGCATTTGCAGATCTACATTTTTAGCATGGGTGATGATAAGGTAATTCCCAGATTGAGGTCAATGGACTTGACAAATTGAGTAAAGTCTTTTCATGTCCGTTTCCCATTTTTGTTTCCCATCACTTTGCTTTTATTCTCCTCTTTTTGATCTATGAACTTGCCTTTCTGCTAATTAATCAGGGTCTTGGGTCTTACGTAAGCGTCGTGACGGTTCAAACGCAGCTGTTCCGAATTGAACTTCAGCAAGAGCATCTTGGGAAAACCGCAGTGCTGGGCCTGAGCACGAATAAGCTGATAGGACACATACACGTTACTCTACACATCACTGGCTTTATGCTCTTTTTTTCTGTGGAGAGTGCAAAAATGAAATATATATATATTCATAAAATGTAAAAAATGTAAGTGACGTTTTGCCCATTTTGGGGTGGTCAAGGCTAAATGATTGCTAAGATCCAAGTGCTTGTTATCATGTTTCTATGTGGTTAGTGGGTGTTTACACCCAGCCTTAAAAGGGTCAGTTTACCTGAAAAAAAAAATTCTGTCACCATTTAGTCACCCTCAAGTTGTTCCAAACTCATAGCACTTACTATTTTCTGTGTAACATAGTTTCATTTTGAGGTATTTGTTTGTTCTGATTCACTAAAAAAAGAACTAGTTCCTAAGAATCAATTGTGTTGTTCATTTGTGAATCAGACAACACTGGTTGCACTCTTTTTGATTCTCTAAAACAAACCAGCTCATTCAAACCATTGATTTGGGAATGTAACTATACCGCTCTTGCTCTAAAATACACTGTGTTTTTGATTCACTGATTGACTCTTAAGAGTCATTGTTTGGGAATGCTCTATGTTTTTGATTCATCTCTCTATCTTGCACTGGTTTTATCCTCTTTTTGGTGGAGAGAGCATAAATGAAATACATTTTTACATTTTATGACAAAATATAAATGGTGTTTTGTCCGCTTTGGGGTGGCCATGACTATGTGGATGCTAGCATGTTGCTATGTGGTTGCTGGGTGGTTACACCCTGCCTTAAAGGGACAGTTCACCCAAAAATGAAAATTCACTTGTTTACTTGGAAAACAGTTTATGGGTGAGCTATCTCTTTAATCAAAAGAGACCAGATGGCTACAGATTGCTCAGATCCCTCCTTATATTTAAGTCTAGGAGTTCAGTGCCATTTACGGCCGTGGTGTAAACAGCGAGGGATGATTTATGCAGAAAAGTTTTGAAAAATACTACTAGTGATCTCTCTAATTTCAGACGGTTCCAATGCAGCCCACTTTCCTACAAAGTCTCTTTAGATCTCGTTCTTGCACTCCCGCTGTCCCGTTTCTCGTAAATTCTTAATAACGCTTGTGTTGTGTACTGTATGTACAGTTTGTTTCCTTCTAATACCCTACTAAACTAATATTTTTCTCTGATAACAGAACTGTAACTGGTCTCGTGTGTTTTGTTTGCTCAGTAGCATTTAGTCAGTTGTGTATTTTGGAGTGTTTCGCAGCCATCAGTCATCAGCTTGCCCGCATATTCTCCAGGGTGATGTTCCATGCGCAGAAATAGACCGAAATATCCAGGAATGCAAAACGCGTCATTTGATCTGCGTCTCATGCGCCGAGCAGTTTACACAAAACACAATTCATTGTTCACAATTCATTGGTGTCAGCAGATAAAAGAGGGAAAGATAGAGAGACAGAGTTAGTCATAACTAAAGGAGAAGAGAAAAGACAGATAGCTGCTGATGTGGCCTTCATGGTCGCTCTGTCCTCTGCGGTTCTCGTTTACCATCACATAACGTCTGCTTTACTTTGGTGTTTGGACTGTTTTCTGGCCTGTGGCGTAAAGTCCCGCTCCAAACCATCACGGGGCGAGCAGGGTGGGGTTTTCCATTTGTGCACAGAGGGAAGATGCTCTGCGTGGATGTTTGATGTGAGGGTGTGTAGTGACAGGGTTCATACTGTAATGAATCCCAGCAGTAGCTGTGGTTACTCTGGATGAGTTATTCTGGAGTGGAAACAGAGATGGATAACAATTACGCACACAAACAACCACACGCACACAGGCAGACTGCAGCTTTGATTTTGACATATCATTTTGCGCTCTGACACATTTGCTGTACATTTAGTGGAATTTTTTCTTTTAAAGCTCAAGTGTGAACTAGCACTGGCTGGGTACATATATATGTCTCATGATTCAGTATTATATAACAATATAACTGGATCCTCATTACTGCTCAAAACAAATTCTGAAATAATACTGTTTAAAGCGAACATGAATGATATTCATAAACCATGTTGTTTATGTAATGTGATATATGAAACAGGATATTCTGCAAGAAGAAAAATGTAGGTAGTTGATTGGGTCCTGAAAAGAAAAAAAAAAAACATCTCATGAAAATCATTTGTTAGTTTTGATCTAAAAGACAGAAATGGCTAAGAATTTGGGAATCAGACTACAAAGGGTCGAACAGTATATTTTTGACTCACTAAAAACAATCAGCTCATAAGAGTCATTCATTCATTTTGATTCACTAAAAAAGAACCAGCCCATAAAAGTCATTAGTTTGTTTTGGTTCAATTTGGTACCAACTATTTCATAAGAATGATTTGTTTGCTTTGAAAAAAAAACCCAGCTCGTTAGAGTTGATCATTTTAGAATTGTTTGGGCAACTTTGGATAAAAGCGACTTTAGATATAAAGAACCAGCTCATAAGAACCGTGTTTGTTTTGATTCACAAAAAAATAACATACAAGAAAAAATAGCTTTCAAGTGTCAAATTTTTAACATTTTTAAAATTTGTACATTTTAATTCACATAAATATGGCTTTTAAGAGTTGTTTATTTGGGAATGGGACTACAGTGGTCATACTGTATGTTTTTAACTCACTAAAAAAGAACCAGCTTGTAAAAATCGTTTGTTTTGATACACTGAAAAAGAACTCGCTCATAAGAATCATTTGTTCATTTTGATTCACTAAAAAATAAGATGGCTTGTTAAGAGTTGGTCATTTGAGAATCAGACTACAAAGGTCACACTATATTTTTCTGATTTACTAAATGTACTAAAACGACTCACAAGAGTCAGTGTGTTTTGATTCCCTCAAATGAATCAACTCATAAGAATCATTGGTTTCAGACCACATGGTTTTGACTAAAAAGCACCAACAACTCAAAAAATGGACATTGGAGAGTTTTAATGGCATCTTAACCAAGATGTGGTACTTTCATCGTAATAGTTTACAGTGATTTAAATGGTTTTATGTGTGCTGCAGTATGTCTCAGTGTTTAACTTGCTGATATGTGTGTGTTTTGTGTGTACAGGGAACGACCTCTTCCTGGTGGCGGTACATGAGCTGGGTCACGCGCTAGGCCTGGAGCACTCCAACGACCCCACTGCCATCATGGCCCCCTTCTACCAGTACATGGACACAGAGAACTTCAGACTGCCACATGACGATCTGCAGGGCATCCAGAAGATCTACGGTAAGATTCACAAAGGACACACTCAATTCTACACTGGAAAAAATGGTTTTTCTAAGTAATTAAAACAGATTATTGGAGTATGTTTTACAATAAAATGCTATTTCAGTCTTTAGTTTTGTTCAATTTCATGTGTTACTCATTAAAGTTTTTTTTTCCACCACAGAATAAAAGAATAAAAATAGGTAAATTCAACTTTTTAATCTCACAATTCTGACTTTTTCCCTCAGAATTCAGAGTCATGAAGTCGCAATTCTGAGTTAGATCTGACAATTGACACTTCTTTCTCAGAATTTCTCAGAGTTTACATGTCACAATTTAGAGTTGTTTTTTTTTTTTTCTCAGAATTTAAGGAATTAGATTTTGGTCTTTAATTCTGAATGTAACTTCTCAAGAAACTAATGAAAATCTAAACTGAAAATGAATAAAATATCTTTGAAACAGCAAAAAAATAAATTGCAGGCAAAATTTTTGACTAAACGGTTTGGCTAACGTTTCTGAAGTCTTCATTTACGCTGAGTTTTTGTTCGCCATTTTGACACAAATTCCTCATGGGGGCGGGTCTAGCAGCGGTGGGTTCTCATTGGCTGTTGAGTTTTTGATTGATAACGTCTTGACCTGGAATTGAAGACATCAGTCTTATGTTGTTTAGTTGTGCGACCAAGAACCTGTAAGTGGCAACCTATTAAAAATAAAAATCAATGTTTTTTTAGAATTGTGAGACAAAAGTCAATTTTGAGATATAAACTCTAGATAAAAAAAAAGTCAAGATAAAATACATTTTTAAAAGTTGCAGTTACCTTTTTTTAATTTTTTTTTTTTATTCCATGGCGGAAACAAGTTTGCATAGTTACTTGTCGTTTTTTGTTTTTTTTTGTAATTATTTGTGAAATTGTCTAGTAAAATGTTTAAAAGGAAATCCTACACCATTTTATTTTTTTTACAGTGTAACACTAAATATTAAACCTCAGTGTGTAGCTCAAATCAGAACCCCCTTAGCAACCACATAGCAACACCCTGGCAACCATTCACACTTTTCTTATAAAATGTAAAAATCTACTGCTTTATGTTTCCCTCTGCTCCTCCACCCCCATCCAGAAAAACACTAAAATGCATGTTCCTGAGATGTTCAGATCCTCCTTCCTGGACCCCATCCAACGTCCGTCCCTTTGGTCTTCCTCTTTCCTCATCCTGACACAGGATGAGACCGCTGAGGGTGGAGATACTCGTACATCTCATGTATCACGCACACATTCCCAACCACGTTCTCTCAATATCCATCACTCTCACCAGAGCAGATCTCTGTTTCGTTGGCCCTGTGTTATGTAAGGTGAAGGGCTGTAATCCTCGCTTCAAATTTCAGGAGATTTGATTTCTGACAGTCACTCCTCTCTGTGGTTCTGTGGGCCGCTCGCATCTCCAGAGGGCTAATCCTGTCAGGCCGCCCTCCTGCCTGATTCATACTTAAAATCATTAATTATTTTCTCCATTTAATCACCTGTCCTTTCACTCTCACAGAGGATTTCTTGACCTCTTGATCTGCAGGCTCGTAGCGTTCTGTCGGCTCTTCCAAAAATCTGACGTCTTAGTTCATTGTGCTAACAGCTTGAACTCTTCAGCGCGGGCCAGCCGTCTGCTGTGCTGTGATAATGAATCCACAGATAATCGAGGTGTATGCTGGACTGTAATTGATGCGAGAGCTCATGATAGCACTTTTTTTATACCCCAGTCCAGATGAATATTATAAAACCGATTTATTTGGTCAACAAGATTGTCTAGCTTCTTTTACCTTAATTTTCAAAATAATACAATAAAAATAATATATATTATATAATAAATGTTATACAATGTATGATTATATATATGTGTGTAT